ACGGTTGCCTGGCAGAGCCATGGCAGCGATGGTTGCCCAGTGGGTTGGCAGGGCAGCGAGACCAGTAGGAGGTGGGGAGGTGGGGAGCTGGCTCGGAGGCTAGTGGCCAGGCCAGCGGGGGCCTGTGGCAGGGGTCTAAAAATGACCTCTCCTGGTCCAGCAAAATACCTCACCCGGGACCAGTCAGGACCTGAGGCTGCCGGACCCGGGAGGTCCAACCTGTAGCACTGAAATGAGTCCCTTGACACACCACTAAAGCCATGTGGCACAATATTTTATTTCCTTTCTCAGAAAGAGAACTTCTATGGTTTTTTATGGGGTGCTGAGCTGTACTTACACAATCTAAAGAAAATTAATGCTAGTAAGTCAGGTAAATGCAACTAAAACCAACAAAACTAGAGTCTGGCACTTGGAAGAGAAATGGCAGGTGAAACATGAACTGGAGCAAAATGAGATTCTCTTTCTTTTACAATGTTGTGTTGCATTTTCATATCAGTATTCCTATTACAATTTTTGCTCTCAGGACACAAGTGAAAAACATGGTACTTAAAAGAATACTATCAAATAGTTCCAAAACATGGGTTTATTTGTTAATAATTTGATTTTAGAGGAATTCTTTCAGACTCCAGGCCCTTTGTAATATTGAAACTAACACTATTTCCATATCAAAGTTTTAAAATGATTTTATTTTGTGGGACTGAGGATCTATTCCTAGCTTATCTAAAGTGGTTAATTTTAGTTTAGAAAACAAACTTTTCCATTGGAATTAGGCTTAATTCACCCTACCCAATCCTCCTTGCAAAGACCCAAATAAGTCACAAGCAGAAAATTCTCTCTTCCCAGCTCTTTTGTTGACATTAGAAAATTTGTACCCGTTTAATTAAACCAATTTAAAATTGATGTAGTTACACGAGTTCAAAGTTCTAATAAAGATATGATTTAAGTAACATTGAAACTGATTTAAGTGCATCTTCATTGGGGATTTGCACCAGTGTAACTAGATCAATTATAAATTGATTTATTCACATAGCTGCAACTTTTCCAATATAGAGCAAGCACAGGCTGTTGGAATAAGTTGTATGATAGGGGGGCTGAAAGTCACTGAACCAAATTGTAAACCCTGTTATATAATGGACCACTTCAAGCCAGGAGGTCCTGCACCCCACCCCCTCCGGCACCTCTGGTTCTAGCACCTATGAGCAGGTCTAGAATACAACATGCAGCATTCAAAACAGGCACATCATTTGGAGACTGGGCCACTTTTCACCACTGTTTTTCACTTGCATTGCTGCTCACCACCTCCCACTCTCCTGTACATAACAGATGGGATGTACACTTGCTTAGTGCCATCCAAGATGATGGACACATCACCCAGGCACGTACAGAGCTTGCCTCTAGTTTTCAGAATGTGATGGGATTTGAAAGATGCTTTATGGGAGTATTTTGAATATTTTCACCTTTGTATTAGCTAGGGATTCCAGCTTACATTAATCTTTTGTTTCTTTGGGTCACTGATAATTAGTATGTACAAATAATCCATATTACTCCCGGGGAAATTCTGCACCACTGTGCAATGCAGAATTCTGTACTTTCCCTGGGGCTGTAGGGCTACTGACCACCATTTAGAGCTGCTGCACTCTTCAGAGCCCAGCTCACACTGAGTTGAGTGTTCAGCCTAACAGGGGGAGCACTATGATTGCTCAGAACTCCAGTATATAGAAGAAGAAAAGCTTGTTGAGAGTCTATGGATCAAGTTTAGAGGTGTAAGCAACAGCAGTGATGTTGTGGTTGGTGTCTGCTACAGGCCACCGAATCAGGTGAATGAGTTAAGGGAATGTGGATTGGATAAATGGACGGTAAGATGGATAGAAAGCTGGCTGGAAGGTCGAGCCCAGTGGGTAGTGATCAACGGCTTGATGTCAGGATGGCAGTTGATTTCTAGTGGAGTGCCACAAGGTTCGGTTCTGGGACTGGTTTTGTTCAACATCTTTATTAATGACCTCGATGAGGGGATGGATTGCGCCCTCAGCAAGTTTGCAGATTACACTAAGCTAGGGGGAGAGGTAGACACACTGGAGGGAAGGAATAGAGTCCAGAGTGATTTAGACAAATTGGAGGATTGGGCCACAAGAAATCTGATGAGGTTCAACAAGGACAAGTGCACAGTCCTGCACTTGGAACGGAAGAATCCCAAGCATAGTTACAGGCTGGGGACCAACTGGCTAAGTAGCGGTTCTGTAGAAAAAGACCTGGGGGTTACAGTGGATGAGAAACTGGACAGGAATCAACAGTGTGCCCTAGTAACCAAGAAGGCTAATGGCATACTAGGTTGCATTAAGAGGAGCATTGCCAGTCGATCCCGAGATGTGATTATTCCTCTTTACTTGGCTCTGGTGAGGCCACATCTGGAGTATTGTGTCCAGTTCTGGGCCCCCAATTACAGGAAGGATGTGGATGCACTGGAAAGGGTCCAGCGGAGGGCAACCAAAATGATTAGGGGTCTGGAACATATGTCCTATGAGGAGAGGCCGAGGGAGTTGCGTCTATTTAGTCTGCAGAAGAGAAGAGTGAGGAGGGATTTGATGGCAGCCTTCAACTTAGATAGGGCCACGATAAGGTGGGTGCATAATTGGCTGGATAACCGTAGTCAGAGAGTTGTTGTTAACAGTGCTAAATCGTGCTGGAAAGGGATAACAAGTGGAGTTCCGCAAGGGTCTGTTTTGGGACCTCTACTGTTCAATATATTCATCAATGATGTAGATATTGGGATAGAGAGTACGCTTATTAAGTTTGCAGATGATACCAAACTGGGTGGGGTTGCAACTTCTTTGGAGGATAGGGACATAATTCAAAATGACCTTAGCAAGTTAGAGAAATGGTCAGAGGTAAACAGGATGAAGTTTAATAAAGAGAAATGCAAAGTGCTCCACTTAAGAAGGAACAATCAGTTCCATACATACAAGACGGGAAGCGACTGTCTAGGAAGGAGCATGGCAGAAAGGGATCTAGGGGTCATAGTGGACCACAAGTTGAATATGAGTCAACAGTGTGATGCTGTTGCAAAAAAAGCAAATATGATTCTAGGTTGTATCAACAGGTGTGTGGTAAGCAAAACTCATGAAGTCATTCTGCCGCTCTACTCTGCACTAGTTAGGCCTCAAATGAGTACTGTGTCCAGTTCTGGGTGCCACATTTCAAGAAAGATGTGGAGAAATTGGAAAGGGTACAGAGAAGAGCGACAAGAATGATTAAAGGTTTAGAGAACATGACCTATGAAGCCAGGCTTCATGAACTGGGCTTGTTTAGTTTGGAAAAAAGAAGATTAAGGGGGGACATGATAGCGGTTTTCAAATATCTAAAAGGGTGTCACAAGGAGGAAGGAGAAAATTTGTTCCTCTTGGTTTCTGAGGACAGGACAAGGAGTAATGGGCTTAAAGTGCAGCAGGGGAGGTTTAGATTGGACATTAGGAAAAAATTCCTAACTGTCAGGGTGGTCAAATATTAGATAGACATCTGTCAGGGATGGTGTAGACGGAGCTTGGTCCTGCCTTGAGGGCGGGGGGGCTGGACTCGATGACCTCTCGAGGTCCCTTCCAGTCCTATGATTCTATGAACTTCCTGGAGGGAGGTTCCAAACAGGCTGGCGAAAGGCTGTTCACAGTAATGATTGATGGCAGAAAAAGGAGCAGTGGTCTCAAGTTGCAGTGGGAGAGGTCCAGGTTGGATATTAGGAAAAACTATTTCACTAGGAGGGTGGTGAAGCACTGGAATGGGTTACCTAGGGAAGTAGTGGAGTCTCCATCCCTAGAGGTGTTTAAGTCCCAGCTTGACAAAGCTCTGGCTGGGTTGATTTAATTGGGATTGGTTCTGCCTTGGGCAGGGGGCTGGACTTGATGGCCTTCTAAGGTCTCTTCCAGCTCTATGATTCTATGATACTAGGGGGAGAGCTGCATGTTCTGCCTGCCTGGCATGATCCTCATTCCCTTGGGGACTGGAAGGGGCTTAGGAGACCCAGGTCTGATAAAAGTATGAGGGATGGGCTGGACTGCATCATGTCCCACAGTAAGGGTACATCTACACTACCACCCTAGTTCGAACTAGGGTGGTAATGTAGTCAACCGGAGTTGCAAATGAAGCCCGGGATTTGAATTTCCCGGGCTTCATTTGCATGTTGCCGGGCGCTGCCATTTTTAAATGTCCGCTAGTTCGGACTCCGTGCCCCTAGGCTTCCTATTCTGAACTACCTAGTTCGTACCGCGTGTAGCCGCGGGGCACGGAGTCCAAACTAGCAGACATTTAAAAATGGCGGTGCCCGGCAACATGCAAATGAAGCCCGGGAAATTCAAATCCTGGGCTTCATTTGCAACTCTGGTTGACTACATTACCACCCTAGTTCGAACTGAGAGAGTAAAGAAACTGGGGGGAAGGAATAAAGTCTCAGGGGGTTGCAAGTGTCTGCACCAAGGTGGTGCCCACAATGAGAGTTTGGGGGTGTTTGGTTATTTTGGTTCTGGGGTCCTCACACAACCACCTCCAGCAGCCACCAACTGGAACTGGGTTTTCTTTAACTCTTTTTGGTGTGTGTGTGTGTGTGTGTGTGTGTGTGTGTGTGTGCTGTTGACATATTTGTTGACACAAGTATTTTGAAATAAATTATCAAGATAACTGAAACTGGTGTGATTATATTGTGTTATTTTGACAAATAAAATATGCAGAACTTAAAAAATATTGGTGCAGAATTCCTCCAGGAGTATCCATATGTATAGCTACAAAGAGATGGTAATGCTTTCCTCTTGATCTCTGTCTTGTCCTTTCTCTATCGTCTATATAGGTTGTCTGAGGCAGAGACTGACTTTATCTGTTCTGTGAACATTATTAGCACTGAAAATATCCTAATCAATAAAACACATGATAAGCCTGAAAGTCTCTGTAGTCCTGCAAAGATTGCAGCCCTAGCAATGTAAAACCACGACACCAAAATCATTAAAATAATCACATACCTTGAAAAATAGCCAGGCTGTCATCCACTTGACCACTTTAGTTGCCCAGCACACATTTCTGTAAAGCTCTGTGTTCACTACTCCAGGGTCTACTACATTAGCAGTCACATGGCTCCCATCTGCTGTCAGGAGATGCTGTAGTCGATAGGTAAACAATACAAGGGCAAGTTTGCTTTGGGCATAGGCTCCATGGGGTGAATAAGAACATCTGCACAGAAAAGAGAAAGAGAGACAGGAAAATAATCAGAAGAAAAATGGCATAGTACCGATATCACATGCATTGCCAGTTTGCTAAATTATGCAGTAAACAGCAACACAGTTAGCAGGCACAGAAAAACTGATCATTTGAAAGCAGATTGCTTCTTGTAGTTCTGGTAACTATTTCACTAGATTCAATAACTGCTTTATGGAAGGTATCTTAGATAAACATACATGTTAGCAGAATCCGTGCTGCAAAAAATTTAGGTATCATTTTCACAGGAAATGCTGAAATATCAAGCCATAGAAAGCTCCTTCTCTCACTCCTACTATTATATATTATATTATTATTATTATTTAATTATTTATTATTTATGATTTATATTGCTGAAGCACCTATTGAGCCCCGATTACCAGTGCATTATATTGCTCCAGATCACCATCTAGGATTATGACAAGCTGAAACAGGTGGCTAAGCAGGCAAAAGTGTGTGATGGTTAGTATAGTGGTAAGCTAATAAAGTTGCACCAGAGAAGTCGTAAAATCTCTGACATTGGAAGACAGCTGGTTAGAACAAAGGTTTAAAATGGAGCCCATGACAAACATCATATGTCACACAAACATACAAATAATAGAATCTATGTCAAAACATTTATATTGAGAACCCTCACGTGTCCCTTATGTGACTCAGAAGTTGGAAATTCTTGTCTTTAAATTCCTCAAAATCAACCTTCTTAGTTAGTAATTGCTGATTAGTCATGTTTCACTTCATTTTTTTTAAAATCTGTCTGCATGAAGAATGCTATTGTCAGGCAAATTAGTAGGTATGTCATTGAAAATACTCCCCCAGATTGGGGTTTCAGCATCACTTCCATGACAACTCTGCTTCTATAATTACTGCAGACCTATCATTTAATCTCTGAGTGTTAGCATAATGCCGACAAAGATTTTTTTCTGTGTTTTTTTGTTATGCACAAAAGAATATGTGATCACTGAATGGTAACTGTGTCTCAGAATTCTGTTTATTCTTTATTTCCCACGTAATGCCTGGCTTTTAGTATTCAGTACACTTAGCTAGTCAGCTTTGAGATGGAAGAGTAGGGGCCTCTAGGAAACATTCTCATTTCTATAACTCCACTGAAGTTATTTAACTATTGGCAGTGCCTGGATGCATACAATGTGGACATTCAGGAACTTTCATAAGCAACAGTGACTCTAATACCTAAGATCCTTTGTTTTCAGTATTTATCAATTTTTCTCAGAAAAATCATTCAGTACTGGAAAAGTTAGTATTTGGACTTTACTATTTTCGAATAAATTTTGTTTTTTGCAGGACCTGGGAATTTTTTGGAGAGAGATGAGAAGCGAACCAGGTCCCGGTAGAAGAGACCAACTAACCTCAGCAGTGACATGCCCTCATGGGCTATGTCAGGGGTTCCCAAACTTTTTGACAAGGGAACCAGTAAATCCATTCACGAGCTTTTAGAGGACTGGTAACATTCATTTGCATATTCATTAAGCAAATGATGAATATGCAAAGAAGTTGTTTCTGGTCCTCCCAAAGCCCCCAGTGTCAGCTTTAGCAAAGCTTTTGATATGGTCACCCACAATATTCTTGCCAGCAAGTTAAGGGAATGTGAATTGGATAAATGGACTGTAAGATGGATAGAAAGCTGGCAAGACCAGGGTTTTCCAAACTTTTTACTTTAGTTGGAACCCATTTTTTAAAGTACTGTTTTTGCAGCCCAAAAATATAAATGCATATAAAAAAAGAATGAAAAATAAATAAATTTTCACTGTTTCACCCGGCTGCATCCTCCGCTCAGCCCGAGCCAGGGCTTGGGGGACCTGGAGCTGCATGGGCACCCCGGGAGGTGGGAGCAAGAGCAGATTGGGGGTAGGGTATCTGGCTAGGAGGGAGGGTGCAAGGAGGGGACTTGGGTAGGAATTGGCCCTCCCTGGTCTGGCACCCTCTGGACTTGACTGGTCCCAGATGAGGGATTTTTTGGACCAGGGGAGGTCATTTCAGGGTTCCTGGTTCCCCCCTCCCCAACTAGGCTTCTTTGCACCTCCCTCCCCTGCAACCCAACTGAGCTGCCCACCCCCGCTAGTTCCCTGCACCTCCCTCAAAACCATCCCCCACAATCCAAGGGAGTGCAGCACCCGTTCCCTGCAGCCCTTCACAGCCCATCTGAGCTGCCCTTCTGTTCCCTATGCCTTCCCTCATTCACCTCAGCCCAGTTATGCCCCGCACTGGTTCCCTGCATGCCTCCCCCACAGCACAGCTGAGCCCCGTTTCCCTGCACCTCCTCCCAAGCCCCACAAAACTGCTGAGCCCAGCTCTGATTTCCTGCTCCTCACTCCCCTTGAGTCTAGCCCCAGCTCCTGGCATCTTCCTCCTCCTGAAGCCAAACTGAGCTCTGCACCTCCTCCCCTCCCCCTGAAGCCCAGCCCAGCTCAGCCCAGCACCTTGCACCTCTCCACTCCTTCAGCCCCGCTGAGCTCCATTTCCCTGCATCTCTCCCCAAACCGCGCAGACATACTGAGCCCAGTGCTGATTTCCTACCCCTCCCTCCCCTTGAATCCAGTGTTGGGTTCCCGGCACCTCCCTCCTCCTGTAGCCTAGGTGAGCCCAGCGCCCCGCACCTTCTCTCCCCCTGCAGCCCAGCACGGTGCCTCCCTAGCATGGTGCCCGGGGGCAACTGCTCCCCCCCCCCCGTTCTCCCTTCTCTAAGCCTATGCTGGGAGCCCAGAACATCTGGCTGCATCCTCCACCCAGCTCGGCCAAGGGTTGGGGGACCCGATGCTGCACGGGCACTCCGGGAGCCCGGAACACCCCAGCAGCCATGGTATCTTTTTCCCGCAGACTGGTATTGGGCCACGGCCCATAGTTTGGGAAATGCTGGGCTATGTCTACACTACAAAAACTTCTTGTAGAGAATAAGATGGAGAATATCTTATTCTCTTATATAAATCCATGGTACGCCCACATCTTGAATACTGCATACAGATGTGGTTTCCTCATCTCAGAAAAGATATACTGACATTAGAAAAGGTTCAGGGAAGGACAACTAAAATGATGAGGGGTTTGGAACGGGTCCCATATCAGGAGAGATTAAAGAGACTGGGACTTTTCAGCTTGGAAAAGAGGAGACTAAGGGAGGATATGATAGAGGTATATACAATCATGACTGGTGTAGAGAAAGTAAATAAGGAAAAATTGTTTACTTGTTCCCATAATATAAGAAGTAGGAGCCACCAAATGAAACTAATGGGAAGCAGGTTTAAAACAAATAAAAGGAAGTTCTTCTTCATACACCACATAGTCAATCTGTGAAACTCCTTGCCTGAGGAGGTTGTGAAGGCTAGGACTAAAACAGGGTTTAAAAGAGAACTAGATAAATTCATGGAGGTTAAGTCCATAAATGACTATTAGCCAGTATGCGTGTCCCTAGCCTCTGTTTGTCAGAGGGTGGAGATGGATGGCGGGAGAGAGGTCACTTGATCATTACGTGTTCGATCCACTCCCTCTGGGACACCTGGCATTGGCCACTGTCGGCAGACAGGGTACTGGGCTGGATGGACCTATGGTCTGACCCAGTAAGGCCATTCTTACGTTCTTGTGCAACAGCACATCCACACCTAAAAGCACATCACAAAAGCAATGTGCTTTTGCGCAAGAGAGCGTCCACTCTGCATGGACGCTCTTGCACAAGAAAGCTCTTGTGCTTTTTTCCGGAGGGGTTTCTTGTGCAAGAAAACCCTCTGGAGCATCCATACTTGCCTTCTTGCCCAATAGCTGTAGCACTAAAAGCAGTTATGCCTCAGAAAAGGTTTACCTATGGCGGAAAAAGCCCTCTGTTCTGCCGTTTAATTGCCCATTTAATTGTGCAAGTGCTCATTTGAGGTGTGGACGCTCCGCAGGTTTTTACGCAAAAACACCCGTTTTTGCACAAAAACCTTGTAGTGTAGACATAGCCATGGAGTGAAATTTTACCCCCTATAGGTGCATCCACACTGTACCCGGAGCTCAAAATAAGATACTCAATTTGCAAAGCTTATTTCGAGTTACACAGCACTTATTTTGAAATAAATCAGTATTCTGAAACTTCCCTTACTCCTCATGGAAAGAAGTTTACTAGGATATTAGAAAAGCAAGCCCATTATATTTTGAAATAACACCGCGCTCAAAAGATGTGGAATACCTATTTTGGGATTCCTCCAGTATCCCAAAATAGCACTACAATATAGATGTAGCCTATGAGTATTGGGCCCCCTTGCTAGTCAGAACACTGCCCTGATCCCAGGGTCAGGAGAAGAAGAGGGTTCTCTCTAATGGGACTTTCAGTACTCATGGGATACAGCCTTTTGCTTTCTTCCTGATGCCAGCCTTTCAATGTGGCTCCTGTCTGCTTCCTTTGTACAGTGCAAGAAGGGCAGGGAGCCAGTCCACAGCAGCTAAGACCACCTGACTGCTGCAGGAAGCAAAATGCCTCTTTAACTGTCACATGGTAAATAACACTCCCTGTCCTCTCTCCCACACCTCTAGCTCCTGGGAGTTCCATACAACTCTGCCCCCCACCAGATGCACTTCATTTTTAGTTTTGGTTGATTTTTCACCCTTTAAAAAATTAAACACTGAAATTCCAAGGGGAACCTCCCCCCCACACACACAAAAAAACCAACAGAAAGCAGAGGGCCATACTTATATCGCAGTTGAAGGAAGTCAAGAAGGATAATATCAATTCTCCCGTTCATTATTATTAACTATTTCTATGTTGCCACAAAGTCAAGTAGCAACAAAAACAAAATGACAGCACAAGACTGACACACAGGATGGGTGACAGGATATTTTTTATTCAATCCACTTCTGCAGGTAAGAGTGAGAAACTTTTGAGGTACACAGAGCTCTTCTTCAAGTCTAGGAAATGTACTCCAACTAATGCAGCCAAATACAAGCTGGAACAGATTGTTTAGCATAAGCAGTCAACACATTTTTCAAGGGACCATTCAAAGTAAAGCAGCCCCTTGAAATAGTTCCTTAAAATATGCATTCACTATTGATGCTGAACAAGCTATTTCATCTTTTATTTAGCTGTGAGCTCATATCAAGTCATAACATCAGCTAACTGTCTGAGCTGTAACATAAGAGATAAAAACAACAAGCAGTTCTGTGGCACTTTAGGGCATGTCTAAACTGCAGGGCAAAACACGATAATTGCATAGCAAAAGTATAAAAATAGCTTAATTCAGCTTTTGGTGCTGTCTACACAGTAGAAAGTTGAAAGAAGAACGTCTTCCTTCAACTTCCCTTACTCCTCATAAAATGAGGGTTGCAGGAGTGGGAGTAAGAAGTCCTTCAGCTCGGTATTATTCCGAAATAACGCTGCTGTGTAGACATACCTTTGGAGACTAAAAAATTTATAGGATCATGAGCTTTTGTGGGTAAAACCCACTTCATCAGATAAGTTGGAGTGGAACTTATAGAATCCAGGATATATATAACAGCAAAAGCAGTTACCTGTCAATTGTAGGACCAGTGTTAATGAAGCTAATTGAGTCAGACTGGATGTGTGCCATTCATAGTTTTTGTTGTGTAAATTTGCATTTTAAAGATACCAGCTGGGTCTAGGAATGGACTAGAACATTTTAATAATGAATGAAAATCACTTTTTAAGTGTTACTGCATTGGAATAAAAGTGACTAAAAGTTAATCCAAGTACAGGCAGTCCCCGGGACAACCGGGGTGAGGCACCCCCGCACTAGCTACTTCCCCCCAGCAGACTAGGGAGATGCGAAGCTAGCGCGTCCCCCTCCCCCCGCCCAGCAGACCAGGGAGAGGTGGAGCGGCTTTTCTCAGCAGACACCTCAGCTTGAGAATAAAGCCTGAGGGAAGTGAGGTGTGGGAGAATAAAACTGAGCTCTGGAGAAATGTTTGGCTAGAGTTTCCCCTACAATATGTACCAGTTCCGACTTACATACAAATTCAACTTAAGAACAAACCTACAGTCCCTATCTTGTACGTAACCCGAGGACTGCCTGTAATACAGTTATATTTTAGATTTGCTAAGGTCTGCATGTCTCTGAAATCACAGTCTAATTCAAAATACTCAAAATGTCACCTAATCTTCATAAATATTTTAACATTTTAAATAGCTGCACTGAGGGAAAATTGTACTGTAGACCTGTCCTAAGTAACTTCCTTTTTTTGTTTTTTTCCAATGGGTTATGAATACCCGTGCAGGGACATCTTCCAGGAAATATATGTCCTAGTCATTTTAGCTGTAGATTGTGTGCATATCTATGTGACCAGTTATAGCAAGTACATATATGTCCATAGTACATACTACCACTGGGCATCAATTAACCTTGGCTCAAAGAAGATCACTCAGTGTCACCCTGAGTATGCAAAAGGAATCTAACCTTATCACTTTCCACAAGGGAAAATACAAATGGCTAAGTCAACTTCACAGACAAAGAAAGACTAAGTACACCAGTCAGTTGTTACGTTAACTTCGTGATTTAATTTCATGCAATGGTCTGAGCAATTATTTGTCTCAAATTGCTTTCTTTTCATTTAACCAATTTTTATTATTGTTAACTTCTTGATTTGACTAACTTGATTTACTTTGTAACCTCAATCTAAATTTCATTTTGTTCAGAACTTTAGAGCTGAATAATAAATTAGTTACCAAATAGCTGGATTAGTTTTCTCTGATCAAATGTTAATGAGGTACTAACAACCTGAACTAATGGGACTTTAATTAAACACTAATAAAACATTTGACATAAGTCCTGAAACCCTATTATTACTATTAATTCCATTATTTCTTATTTTATTTTTGCTAATTAAAGAAATTCATCTCCCTCCTCATATGTACTCATGTATCATAATTGTATCCCCTATAATCCAGGTAGTACGATATGTATTTAATTCCTTGAATTTAGTCTCAGTGTTATGCTGATAAGAAGCACACAGGATCTTTTTCAGGGGAAAAGGCAGTATGATGCATTCATTGAGAATACGGTAGAAAAAGAGTTAGCATATGCTTTATAAAGACAAGCTCCCACACACACAAATAAACAAACACACAAAATCTTGTCACTTAAACAAGACTGTTGCTCACATTAACTCGCTGGCCAGGCAAGGTAAGTGTGAGGGGGAGGAGCGGAAGTTTGACAAGATGAGAGCCAGAGATTCATGCAAGACTTCCCATCTTCTATAGGATTTTTCTCCCATTCAGGTCTATGCATTTTGCTTAGTAAGTTCTTAATTAATCACCATTTTAACATCTGTTTATTTGGAAGTCATTCTTCTTTGCCATCTGACATCAGTATGTTGGTGCCTCCTTTCCAGTGTTATTTCAAGGTTGTCTTGTTTGTGAAAGGGGGCTTGCTTCTTAACACTCCAAGGCCGTCCATACGCCCTCTATTAGTCTGCTTTGTATTGGGCCCAATTTATGGTATCTTGATGCCTCTGAGTCTTTCAGCCCTCCACCCATTCCACCATCTGGACTCTGAAACTGCTGGGCCTACAAATTCTCTCTCCAAACAATCACATTCCAAACTCATTCACTCCCCTCCTCAGGAACTCCCCAATCATTTTACATGGGAAAAGGGATACAATTGTTCATTCAAAAGGTATCAAGCTACTTCCAACTACAAAACTTCTGCTAATATAAACTTTTAATTCATTCAGTACGTTTTCCTTATAACACAATTTATTTTCTAATTACTCCTAAGAGCAACAGTGTGATCATGGGGAATGCAGACTATCCCCTCATGCCTTGGCTGATGAAGCCATACACCAACCACCTGGTCCCAGCAGGGATCAATTTAATGCCCACTTGAACCGGGCCCGGATCCAGATGGAGTGCACCTTTGGCCACCTCATGGCACATTTCTGGTGCCTGCTGACTTGCCTCAACATGGGGGAGCACAAGGTCCCTGAGGTGGTCATGGCATGTTGTGTCCTCCATAACATTGTAGAGAGGAAGGGGAAGGCCTTCCTCCCAGGCTGGGGGGCAGACGCTGGCTATGAGGGGTGAGTAGGGTTGTCAGATGGTTGAAACAAAAATACCCCCCCCCCAAAAAAAATAACCCGGGAAAATATTCTGTTGAGGGGGAAAAAAGGGGAGAGAGACCAAAGTAGTTGAGTTGCAGGGATAGGAAAAGGGGAGCGGTTGAGCACTAAGACCCAGGGGAAAGCATTGCTTCCCCTAGGTCTTTTGGCTGGCAGCCATTTTGTGCTGGCAGCCTTTGGGGAACCAGGTAAGCATGGGGGTTGAGGTCGGGAGGGGCTGGGGGTGTTGGGAGCCAGGGAGGAGGCTGGGCACTGAGTGTTTGTAGTGTTGCCAGGTGCCCGGCATTTTTGCCTCCTGGCTGGGGAAAAATTCAGAAAATACTGGACATTTTAGGTGTCCGGTATTCTCTGAATTTTTTTACCGGACAGAAGCCGAAAATACCAGACTGTCCAGATGAATACCGCACACCTGGCAACCCTAGCAGCAGAGCCTGCTCTGCAAAGCAGCCGCCTGCTACCCAAAGCAGAGAGGCAGACCCCAGGGCAACACAATGGCAGGGCGGAGGGTGAGGCGACCACGGGTAGGAAGGTGACTTCCCCATAGCCAAGTCTTTGGGTGTCCCAGTGGAAAGAAGTGGGAATTCCACCCCACTCAGTTTTGTCTGACAGCGCCTAAGCAACCACAAAGCACCTGTGGGCTTCTGTCCCGGACTACGGATCCACACCCTGCTTGAACAGCGCTCAGGGACAGGGCTTCTCCTTCTCCTCCCCAAGGCGTCTCTCCTAGGCCAGAAGCAACCAGCTGAAGGCTCCCAGCCCCCGATCACGCCCCACCTCCCAGCTACTCTCCCCACCCCCGCCAGGCTTTTGACGCGACCAGAGGCTCCCAGCGGCGATCGCGGCCCCACCTCCCAGCCTAGCTGGGAGAGGGGGTCAAGCGCTCAGGGACAGGGCTTCTCCTTCTCCTCCCCAAGGCGTCTCTCCTAGGCCAGAAGCAACCAGCTGAAGGCTCCCAGCCCCCGATCACGCCCCACCTCCCAGCTACTCTCCCCACCCCCGCCAGGCTTTTGACGCGACCAGAGGCTCCCAGCGGCGATCGCGGCCCCACCTCCCAGCCTAGCTGGGAGAGGGGGTCATGTCAGAAACCTGGCGGGGGACTCCCCCTGCCAATGTCAGGCTTCTGTCCGGTGCCCAGCCAGAAAAATCAGAAAATACTGGACACTGCACGTGTCCGGTATTGTCTGATTTTTTTTTAACCAGGCAGAGCGCGCAAATACTGGACTGTCCAGTAGGAGACCAGACGTCTGGCAACCCTAGGGGTGAGCGTTCGAGCAGCCGACGACAGCTGCCACCCAGCGGGCCCATCAGGCCACGGTGTGCATCTGGGAGGCCCAGAGGGAGAGGTTCTCTCAAGGACCCCAGTAACTCTCCCCAGGGCCTCCCCAACAGGGGCTTCTGGCTTGCAACCTTATCCCTTCCCCATTACAATCCCTCCCTTCACTCTTTTCCTGACCTCTCAGTAAACACTGAAATCTGCATTTATGAAACAATGTCCAGGCCGGAGTCCACCAGGATGGGTGGGGAAGACGTTTTCCCACCCCCCCAGGATCTGATACAGCTCCTTGTAATAGGGGCAGGTGTAGGGGCCTGCCCCAGAGTGAGAGCTGTGCTCTGTGGCCTGGATATGTCCATGGTGGAGCTCCTTGACTTTACTCCAGACCTGTTCCAAGGTCCGGGGTGGGTGTCCACGTCGGCCATCCATCCATAAATGTCCGCATTTCTGCTTTTGGACCAGAGATCCTGCAAGGTCTTCTCCTCGTCCCAGTTTGAGGAGGGACAGGATCTCCGGCCCGGACCAGGAAGATGCTCTTGCTCCCCCTGGGTGGGTCTTGGGACCCTGGGGCTGCTCCCTTTGATGGCTGGGGAGGTTGCAGAGGGCTCGAGGCTCAACCATGGCTGGCAATGCCGGTGGCAGGGAGACCATGTGGTGACGTGCTGCTCTGAAGCCAGCTTCCTGCCACAAGACTTGTCCGGGATGCCTGGAGCTTTAAGAGGGGCCAGGAGACAGGAACTATAGAGTTGTGATTACTTTGTATGGAGTGGCCATCAGGGTACCCATGCTATTTCCTGGAGGCCTCTTTTTTCAGAAAAAAATCCCCTCCTCCCCATCCACACACACCTTGTTCTGAAATAATTATTTCGGAAAAAAGGCTTCTTCCTCATAGAATGAGGATTACCAGCATTGGAAAAACCCCTCTGCTCTTTCAATTTAGTTTAGAAAGAATGTGATTGCAGTGTGGAGACTCCTCAAGTTTTGTTGGAAAAACAGCCGTTTTTCTGACAAAACTCTGTAGTATAGACATACCCATAGAGTCTCTCTCCTTCTGGCTCAATGAATATTGGATTATTTCATTCAAAGCAGGTCAACTTCAATAGGAGAGATTAAGAAAGACAAACCACTACCAAGACCTCTTCCTCCAGCTATTATTTTGTGAATTCAACCTTTAATTTCCTTTGGTTTTGTTAAAAGTACCCAAAGCAAAATGTTTAATTTAAGATCAAATGAAATGTGCTGTTAGACTCAAACCAATTTTTGGAACTACCAGTGAATCTAAAACCACTTTTTTTCCCTCAATTCTAGTTAGAAGAACACATTAAATGTCCTCTCAATGCTGTTTCTAAGATCCTGAAGATTTTTCTCCTCAGCCCCTCTTGCTTAAGAAAAAGCTTCAGAGAGACATGTGAGTATGTTGAGATCACAATCTATAGTTCCATTTAATCTCTTTGGTACTGGCAATTAAGATATTCTGACCCTAACCACTGTATTGTTTTACAGGTCAAAACCCAGATGCCTTCTCCCTCTCCCACCATGCCCCCTCAATTCTCACTGTGTTTGACTGGCTACAGGGCACAGTGCCCTAAGATCAAACTGCAGTTCAGCCAGATAGCTGTGTCCTCTGTCACAACCTGGGAACTGTTACACAATGTGGATAACATGCTAGGATTTTCAATAAAAGACCAAATGCCTAACTGTAATGCATGCCTTGTGTTGAATATAGCAAAAGCATGCACAATGTATTAAAATGACTGAAGTTGCTTAATTATTAATGTTTTAACCTTGTAATACATCATTGTTGCTTAGTCAAGAATGTAAAAACCATTATTAAACACTGACAGGGCTATCAGATTTTTAGATTTTGTTCCCCTAGAGAACAGTATACGGGAGTTTAAAGTATTCTCTAAAGGTTTGTTTTCACTACTATGTTAGATTAGCGAAGCTGCATTGATGCAGCAATGCCAATGTAGCACATGTTGGTGAAGATGCTATACGTCGATTGGAGAGCACTCTCCTGTTGATGTACATCTCAATGCAGTGTACACCTTGGTTTAAGTTTGGGGGCGGGGGACAGTCTTTCATACTCCTGAGCAGTGTAAATTACATTGACTTGGGCAGCAGTGTAGACAAGCCCTAAGAATGTTAAAAGATTAGAGGGGCAGAGTCTCAGAGGGGTAGCCATATTAGTCTGTAACTGAAAAAACTGAAAAACAAGTAATGGTCCTGAAGCACCTTAGGGTATGTCTACACTAGCCCCCTAGTTCAAACTAGGGAGCCTAATGTAGGCATTCGAACTTGCAAATGAAGCCCGGGATTTAAATATCCCGGGTTTTATTTGCATCTTCCCGTCCGGGCGCCATTTTAAAATCCCCCTAGTCCGAACTAACTGCCTGCGGCTACACGCGGCAGTCAGACGTTAACTCAAACTAAGTCCTTAGTTCGAGTTAACTGTTACACCATGTGGAATGAGGTGTAACAGTTAACTTGAACTAAGGACTTAGTTCGAGTTAACATTTGACTGCTGCGTGTAGCCGCGGGCAGTTAGTTCGGACTAGGGTGATTTAAAAATGGCGCTCGGACGGGAAGATGCAAATAAAGCCCAGGATATTTAAATCCTGGGCTTCATTTGCAACTTCGAATGCCTACATTAGCCTCCCTAATTCGAACTTTGCTTTGCAGAACCAAGGTGCATCTTTTCTGGCTATTAATTATAAATATTTCATTTATCATTTTATGATAAACCAAAGTCAAGAGTTCAAAAGAGTGCTCATTATATTTATGAAGGTTTCTTGTCTGTGTTATAATTTTTACCCTGTATAATGGCTTCTCAGAGACTGGATAGTCATTTTCCATTACTGTAAATAAAGGAAAACACTGCTGGAAAAAAATATGATGGCAGCAAACAGGAGACAGTCCAAAGGAGAATAAAAAGGGTTAAAAGGCTCTGAAAACATGACTTATTAGGGAAGGCCTATATTTGACATCTCAATGTAGTGTATATATATTAGTCTTGAGGAAAGAAGACTAAGGAGTAAACCCGATAACAGTCTTCTAATTCTTTGCTATATAGACCAGAGGTCAGAAAAAATATGATGGCAGCAAACAGGAGACAGTCCAAAGGAGAATAAAAAGGGTTAAAAGGCTCTGAAAACATGACTTATTAGGGAAGGCCTATATTTGACATCTCAATGTAGTGTATATATATTAGTCTTGAGGAAAGAAGACTAAGGAGTAAACCCGATAACAGTCTTCTAATTCTTTGCTATATAGACCAGAGGTCAGTGATCATATGTCCTCCATGTCCACTGGAGGTAGCACAAGAAGTAATGTGTTTAATATGTAGCAAGGAGATTTAGGTTACATATTAGGAACATCTTTCTAACTATAAGGGTAATTAAGTTCTGGCATAGGCTTCCAAGAGAGGTTCAGGAAACCCCATCATTTTGGAGGTTTTTAAAAACAGGCTAGACAAACACCTTGTTACCTCACGGCAGGGACCTGGGCTTAATGACCTCCTGAAGTCCCTTCCAGTTCCTTTCTATGATTCCATGATTTAAAATAATGAACTAGAACTAAATTCAAAGGAACTGACACAAAATTACCTAGATTTCATCACCGAGATGTGTACTGTACCTGTCCTGCTTTTGACTACATCTGCCCCAAACATACAATTACACACAGTTATCCATTTTGTATGCATGGGAAATTGGAGGACCCCGCCTACACATTCTTGTGCAAATGCTGTATGCACACTTTATGGATGAGTTTTTTGAAAATGTGGTTCCTAAGTTCAGATACCAACATTTGAAAATATTCATGTTAGCTTGCTTAGAGAAGTCAATGGAGCTACATCAATTTATGCCAGCTGAGAACCTAGCCCTGTGTTGGCAGAATTTCTTGAACTGCCAGAGGCAGAGTCTATTTCTTAAATCGCTCCAGCCAGGCCCTTCCTCTGACCTGCAGTAGAAAAGAAAGGAAGGGATTAGCTGATCATGTCTCAGAGCTTCTCCTGCTCTCTGAAATCAGTCACACCATGATTTGTGTTGCTCGGACACACATGAATTTATAATATGTGGGAAATGAAGAGTGAATTTCTCTTTCTCTCTCTTTGTAAGCCTGCAGCCTGGAAATAAATGTTCAGGTGCCACATTATAAACAGTATTAATAACAAAACAAATCAGAATGGGCCTTGTCAGCATAGGCACAAGGCCACCAACAGGATGTGAGGAGAGCGAAGGAGGGCAGTTGTCCTGGGACATGGCAATTTAAAGGGCACAGGCCCATTCAATTGCTGCTGGAACCCCCTGAGGATGTGCACTCTGAAGCCCCAGCAGCACTGAAGGGCTGGCTGGGGGAGGCTAGCCTCCAGCCTCACCCCTTCTCTTTGAGCTCTCACCTGTTCTGGGAGTGGGGCCCAGAACCGGCTCCTTCCAGCAACTGGTTAAGACTCTCATCAGCCCTATGTGGGCATCACTCTCCATGCAGGAAAGTACACATCATTGTTATGTGTCTGACTGCCCCTTCTAAGGTACTAAAGTAAGATACTGAGAGACTTCCTCCTACTGTCCCACAGTCATTGGATGAAGTCTGAAGACTTTGCAATTTGATAGCAAAGGCCAGATCCTTCCAAAAGGCAGTAGAAGTGTTGCTTTTACAAAGGAAGGTATGAATGATTGTCATGACTATTCTTTATCTACTTTTGAATACTGATGAGTAGTTCTAGGAGCAAGTACAGGCTGCCCATATTCACAGGAAATAACCCCACATTCAAGTTACTGGCCCAAGTCAGTATTTACAAAATACTCATTTTCTACAAATACAGAAGCTCAGAAGGAATCACTTGAACTATTTGTTACCATGAAGTAGCTTAGTAAGAAATATGAATAGTGCTCATTCGTTCAAATCAAAATCCCACCACCTTTGTGAGGGGCAGCACAGGAGCAGCCCAGGACATTGAGGGTCAAAATCTAGATCCTGATTTCCCCTTTACCTCAAGCTAAGGAACCTGCAGCAGCCCTACTATGTCTGGTACAGACTGCTTCCCCCGACCAAGGCTCTGCCCTCTTCCTACCCACATGCATGGAAGGGAAAACAAGGCCTCTATTAAAGTTCCTCCACACTTCTACAGGGCTGGTTGTGCACCACAGAGCAAAGGAGCAACTTACCAGGAGCAGATGAGGATTTTATGGGGCCCAGGGAAGCACAATTTCGCGGGGGCCCCCCCTTTGACATGGCGCATGCACGGTGGCGCCATGGCGCATGCACGGGGCTTCTTGAAGCGCGGGGCCCGGGGCGGCCGCCCCGCTCGCCCTGCCCTATATCCGCCACTGCTCCTTACAGTCACTTAATCATAACTAGGGTATAGGGTTATCACCTGGACAGCATTTGACCAACCTGGTTGGGCTTTTTATGGATTTGCCTGATGCAAGAAAATAAAATTAATATGACAGGGTTTTTTGGGGTTTTTTTACATCAATCTAAAGATTTGCATTAGTTTCACAATATGCTAGGATATTTAATGTTAAAAAATTCTGTGTCCAGCTAAAGATACTGTGGTATTCTCGCTTCCACAGATGAAGCAATAAAATATTAAAACTGTTGAAAATACAGCAGTCGGTCAGCTCACTAACAAACCTTTGGATTGACGAGAAGAATTCCCTAGGCTGAATTGGTCAAAAGTGAACTTTGCATTAGATGCAAACTCAAGTATTCCTGTTTGGAATTCTATTATGTAGCCATTAAAAATAAGAAATTGCTGGAAAAGGCAAGATCATGAGGCAAACACAAATTCAAAAAATAGATCCAATAGATCTGCTTTATGTATAAAGTTCCAAAACATTCATATTCAGGTATCTAGTTAAAATACAGACTCAATGCAGTTTGGGAAAAAGTAATCCTAGTGCAGATGGACACAAAGAAAACCAAGGTGAAAAAATGATGTTAACAGTCCTACTGATATGTGTTCTCTCTCCAGATACTGTCAGTGGCTGTTGAGAGGGGGCATTGCAGAGTTGCCTTGTGGATGGGGTTGAGGTTGTCACTGGCATATACTGCAGAGAGAGGTGACAGTTATGTTTGCATTTCAAAGATGGTAATCCTACCAGGATAACAACCTAGGCCAATAATAATAAAAACAATACCTAACCTCTTGCTCACTCCTCTAGTTATTTGTAGTGCCTAATATAGATCCTGAACTTCTAATATATTATTTTTTTGCTTTTTGGGATATGGAAGGCAATGGAGATTGGTGATGGCCAATATGTCGTTGCCAATTCAAATCTAGACTGCTTAATGATGACCAAGAGTTACTCCCTTGGATGGCCCCATATGAAATAAGTTGGTCTCAGTCCAGTGTCTTTAGGAGAGGTATCTATATAACATATGTTTTCATCCTGTGAGCTGCTGAGCATCCTGAGCTCTCTCTGACTTAATCAGCAGAGAGGTCAAGACTTGAATGGCATTAAGACTGAATGTCCCTCCACCCACATACCTGCTTCCTAAAAATCACAGCAACTGTTGGCAGGACCGAGAGGAAACACTTGCACCGTCACTGTAGTGATAAAAAAAATTGGTCTCTAAGGTTAGCACTAAATTTTTAATTGCCAATTTTATTTTTAATTATCTCTATTTTTTCAAACTTTGTTTTTACATACTCAGGGTAAGAATGCAGCTGAGGACTCCCAGAGATACACAGTCACCAAATCTATTAAGCTCATTTAGTTAACAGAGCAGATGAGATAATGGCCAGAGGAGAAAATGATTTACTAAAAAAAACAAAGAAATTTCATGAAAGCCTCCCTTTCTCTTAGGAGACTGATGGCTGAAGAAGGGA